TAAGATCAGGTAGACGCTATTGTCTGTCTAAACAAACCCTCTGTAAGCCTGCCGGTGTTTCTCTGGTCACTGTTCTCTGAGTTCTCTTTAATCAACATCATCCTCTTTAGAGGCCGAGGTGATTGGATTTAGATTGTGTTTGTGTGAGAGAGAGAAATGGGAATGAGAGCTGAGGTATGTTGACTAGGATGTGCGGAAACGAAAGGCCCCTCGACAAGCACCGGCCATATGGAGAGACTCACCGTGAGAACAGCTGCCTTCCATCATCAGCCCATGTCACACGGCACCATTATACACTGACTGACCTTTGTATTGTCACTAAAGCTGCCAAGCAACATCTGCCATCATTAGGCACAGTGGTTTTTATCAGGTTAACATGGAATATTGAGTACAGATCCAAAGAGGAGACATGGAAAATCTGGTTTGAGGTTTGATATCTCTCCATACATAAGATGGAGAAACAGTGTCCTGACAGGTTTTAATTACCGTTGTCGTTGTTGTTGTTATTATTATTATTATTATTTTATTTAATTGTCATAATTATTTGTTACCACAAATAAAATATAATATTAATATCATATCAACGTGCAATGTTTATGGTTGCCATGACTATCAGGATGCCCTGGTTACTGTTCTGTCATAAAAGCGCTTGAATATTATATTTATTTTTGCAAGAAGTTTAGCTAATAAATTGTAGATAATAATATTTTTAATTTAATATTTTTAATATGTAATATTTAAAGCGGATGTAGCCTTACCCCCCACAAACCCCCCCACCACTTTTTAAGTCAAACTTACTGCTTATTCTTAAAGGGGCGGTACAATACTGTTTCATGCATTCAGAGTTGTTTACACTGTTAAAGAGTTGGATTCTCATGTTAAGCATGGACAAAGTTTCAAAAAACAATTTGGACGTATGATTTCTGTGCCAAAAATCTTACTTCCGGGTTTGTATAATGGTGCGTTCAAGTCATGCCGTATAGATCGTATTTACGAGTTGAACGCACATGAACGCCACCACAAAGTAGTTATTACGAGTGGGAAACTCTAAATTTTCTTTAAGCCCCTAGTTTCCGAGTTGGGAGCGTGTCAATGAGAAACATGGCGGAATCAATGGATGCAACGTCTGTAGTTGACGGTAAATTTTTGTTTAAATTGATAGTTTAGTTGTCCTATAAACTTAAATTGGTCATGTTCTTGTTACGCAGCTGAAATCCAAGTAAAAAAAATGCAGACCCTGTTGTATTTTCTTGTAATTTATTAAAAGAAGGTACACCACCATCTTGTGCCGACTAAACTGACTTGAACGCACCTGACGTCGTAATTACGACTTGTCAACTCGTAAGCACGAACGTCCCAGGAGGACTTGAACGCAGCATAAGTTTCGGAGAGGAATGTCTCCAAAGAAGTGTGTTTTTGGTTGTAAGGGCAATATAACTTTGTTCAGTTTCCTAAAGAACCCAGCGTTGTGTAAACAGTGGATACAGTTTGTTTTTCCGGAGCAGCAATGGAGTTTCAGAAGTGTGTTTGTTGACGAACGTTTTATAAACAAGGCCCAGTTCGACGCTGGATTTGCACATCGTTTGATACTGAAAGATGGAGCGGTCCCGGTGATAAAAGATCCCGGTCATGATTCAGAACTGCAGACGGTAAGTGAAACGGCATCAAATGTCTGTTTTGTTGGCTTTCGGCGCCCAAGTGCTCGTCACTCTTTAGCTCTGCCCACGGCACACCTCCAGGAGCTCGGCTTTTTCTGGAGAGAATCGTAAAGCTGTATCTTTCTTTTATAAATATGTTCAAACTAAAGACTTTTTGGAGATATGAAGGATGCAGTACGACTCTATAGGTACTCGAGATTAACATGAGATTGGGTGAAACTGTGTGTTATGCCCCCTTTAATGTATTACTTAATTGTCATTATTTGTTACCACAAATATAAAATAATATAATATAATATAATGAAAAATATGATGATTAATAATAATTAATAATTATTATGATATTATTATGTTTTTATTATTATAATTATTTTTATTAATTTTTTGTGATTATATGTCACCACAAATAATAAAGATAAATATATAATAAATATAAACAATAAAAAGCATCACAAATGATTACTAATAAGGTTGACATAATTCATATGCCATAAGGAACCAGGCCTGAGTTTTCTGGTGTTTTTTTTGTTTTTCTAAATTACTTCTGTGTGGCTTAATTCTTAAGCTGTTTTTCTGTTCTGATTCTGTCCCATTAGACATAACATATGTCTGCGAGCTCATAATCATTACTTAGGTGTTTTGAAAAATGAAAGTGACCATACGGCACAGTTTATAAAAAGAACTTTACAGAGATTACTGTTATTGTATCAGCCTTAAGGAGCTTATTGTCATTCCACTATTGTATTTTTATGGAGGTTAATGCACATGAAAATGAAATGACAAGCATATTGCTTAATTAAATGGAAATCCATTTGGAAATGCCAGACGCTGCCAGTGAGAAGGGAGGAAGAGTTGTGATGTAAACGGGTTGCATTTACCACAATTTTTTTGCAATTAATCGCCTGATAAAAAAATACCTGTGAATTTTACAGTAAAATACTGGCAGCAGGGTTGCCAGCCAGTTACTGTAATTTTTACAGCAGTGTTGCTGTAGTTTAATTTACAGCATCTTCCTGTATTTCCTGATTACAGTAAATAACTATTTTAACTGCATTTTTTACATTGCTGTATTTTTTTTTTACAGGAAACTACTTTAATATGTTTATGCTATATTTAGAGGAAGAATGTAAAATGCAATATATATTTTCCTGATTGCTGAATATTAATGACTGGAAGCTGAATTTTAAATTTAAACTATTCATTAACTGCATAAGCTTTAAACAATATTTAACTGCATAAAATGTTGTACAATGCATATTAATTTACCTATTATTTCACAAAACAAAATAATAATAATATTAATGATAATAATAATAATTTGACACTTCTTAATATTGAAAAACAGGTTTTTCCACAGGATTTCACAAATTTGTGTATTTATTATTTTGAATTCCAAAATAAATTGAGAATGAAATTAAATATTTTTTAATTACTTGAAACATATTACCCCTGTATAACTTTAAAACCACAAGTTAACTAACATGGTCATAATACAACAGTTCTAAAAACCACAAACTGATGCTAAGAGTGGCTAGAAATATTGAAAAGAACAAAGAGGACAATATATTAGATTTATTACAAAGAGATCAATTGAGGGATGACAGATAGAGATAGATGAATGATGGCACATACAGTCAGATACAGATAGAGGGATGACAGACACAGTCAGATACAGACAGATAACGGCTGTAAACAAAGCAGCGCTGCGCTCATAAATGTTATCATACAAAATGAAAATGCCATTGAAACTTTTCTGAAGACAGTTGGTTCCCTTCAGAGATTCATTCATATAAAACATTTTCATTTGCTACAAGTAGGATAAACAAGAAGCACGTTCAACATGTACATGCAGACGGTTGTCATGGTAATAAACAGTGAAAATAGCAACCGTTCGCGTGTCAGCGCTTTTGCGCATCTCGTATATGAAAAGCATTTTAGGGGGCCTTTGGCTTTTGGGTGCCCAAGGCGGTCGCCTACCTTTGCCTATGGGTAAGTCTGCCTCTGCTTACAACAGTTGTGAATCAATCCTCTTGCCACTGAAGATCCCACAATGCCTCTGTAGATTTGAAATTTACAGCAATATACTGTATGTTTGCGTCAAACCACCATGTGACCCCAGAATACACTGCAGTTTACAGCAATATGCTGTATTATTAGAAAAACAGCCCACTGCTGTAAAATATCGCTGTAATTTTTTACAGCAGTTTGTTACAGTATACTGTGGCTCTGACATACCTTTGGATTACCAGATGTCAAATCCCTGAAGCCAAAGTAAAAGACAGCTTGAAACATTGAACTGTTTTGTGTTCTCAGTGCAAATAAAGGAAGAACACAGATCTCTTGTGTCTTGCATGTGGTGCTTTGAACAAATTGGAAGTCTCCAATCTGTTTGTGTTTGATTACCAACCCAAATCTTTATCAGGTTACTCCATACTGTACAGTAGCTAAATAAGTCTGACTATAGTGAGGGTGAAGCTTCTGACTAACCGTCATTAAATGAGTGTCCAGAAGAGAATGTTGCGAAACGTCCAGTCACTTCCAGTCATTAAACATTAACAGACAAGCTCATCTTGGGAATGCAACTGTTGAATTGTCCTATATTTCATTATACAGTTTCTGTATAGTCTTCTACAAAAATCGATTGAACATTTCCATTTTTATTGCTCAGGAAAAAACAAAGGCCTTATGACAACATGCCCCAATAACATCTCATAATGTTAAACTACATGGGGTAAGTTGTCACAATGGAATCTGCCAGCGGACAGCATTGGAACACACAAATAAATTCATATTAAAATTGAAAAAATAACATACTACAACACCAGATATTTTACAATTATATTTTAATGTGTATTTGTATATCACAATCATATTATTTCTTTTATATATTACACATATTTCTGATTATATTTTTATGTTTTCATTACTAAAAAAATAATAAAACATAATAATAAATAATAAAAATGATGTAATAATAAAACAAATTTAAAAAGCTTTTAAATTTAAAACGCAACGTTCCATAACACCAGTGTTTAATATTTATATTTTTTCATTTTATATCACTTTTATTTTATATATTTTATTTATATTTTATAGATATTTTAATAAAATGTATAAATGTGTTCCTATGTTCCTAAAGACTTTTGTCTGTACCTAAAATCATATTTTAGCGTTATACAGAGTCATGGCAGTTCTCTCATTATGAGATGCAAATATAGTTATTTATCTTTTTTAGTCTTCATAGCACAAAGGGTTAACAGTAGGAGGTTCTGTTGGCAGAAAAGGGTGGCGTGAACTTGGCCAGTCAGTGTACACTTTTCTTCTTCAGTAATTAGCTTGGCTTCCAGCAAAGCCATGCCTCAGCATCTTCGAGAGAAACCCGTAACGACTGCATCACATATGTTGTAAAATACTGTAAAACACCTTGTTTTCAGTTCCCTGTCAAAGATGGGCGACATCAGTGAAGCGTCCTTGCTGGATTATATCTGTTCTTCTGGAGGAAAAGTCAAAAATTCAGATCTGTCCAAAACATATAAGCATTTTATAAACCATAGCGATTTGCAACTACGTGGTGAGTAAATGAGAATATGACATTTTTTCACATTCACGACGCGTTCGCTTTACACCTTGTCTACACTGCAAGCTAGGGTTAAAAACCGCGCTAGAATAGACCTTTTAATTTTGTGGAGTTTCTAGCAGTGTTAATTAAGAGGTGTTTTTGATGGCACATCTCTGCCATTTTTCACTCTAAAATAAGAATGAAAAACTCGCCTCGCTTGAGGAATGGCTGTAACGTAGCTAGTTTCTTAACCTCTGAAGTAACTGGCAAACAAACATCTGCTTCAGATTAAAAAACTACCAACAGATAGAATTACACATTGAATTATGTCATTTCCTTTGCTCCCTCAGGAAGGGCCTCTACATTCCCAAACCATAACTGTTGAGTTCTAAATGGAATATTCACTGACTTGTGTTGTTTTCGATGTGATTCATATTCCAATATTAATCAAAATATGGTCATATTGAATTATGCAACACACTGATTGGCATATTAACCAGAGTAAACTGATATTCCGAATTCTATCAATCTGAATAACACCGCTTGCATTCGTTTATATCCGTGCATATCCAAATTAAGCTAAATCTGAGTGATATTAGATATAGAAAGTTGTAAAAAGTTGAGCTATGGAAGAAGTACATATTTGGCACAAGGAAGAGACTCTTTTCCTTGAATCAGAATATGGCCACATTCTGATTAATATTGGAATATTCCTGTCCCCATAAACACATTCAGTATCTTATTTTGAAAAATGCTGAGTTGATAATGCTGACTAGTGCTTCTCTGCTTTTGCTTTTTGCTGATGGCTCAAATGAATCAGTTGTTGTTTTACCCTGATAGACTGATGTGTGAGCTGATAAATTGTCCAATATTTGATCATTTTTAGATTACTTACACCTGATTACCGCTCAATTTCAGCACCTTTGTCGATGGATGACGCACAATTTATTTTCAGATATTTTTTTAGATTTGTGTGTGTGTGATTACATATTCTCAATATTGCTTAAAATCCCTGAATAATTTATAGATATCAGCATCTGCCACTGAAAAACAAATATTGGTTGAACACTAGTGTTTTGTGTATGAACATTAATATTTAATTTTTAAAAAATGAAATAGCGTAGCAAAGTGGGCCAAATAAAAAAAAGCATGATGTTCTCATAAGCCATTTAAATTGTAATTAAATTAGATGATGTTGCATTTAATCCTACATACATGTGTCAAACATGAATTTATGAAACAATTATCCGTAATGGCTTATAATGCCTCATCCAGCTGTGCTGGTACAGTTGTGTACAGAGGTTTCAAAATCTGCCTTCATCTGGTACCATCTGACACCGCTAACCAATTATCATAATTATTCTTGATTAACGCACCAGCCAGCATGACATGCTCTAATTCTGGAGTTATAATGATTCCAGTCCTTTTTAGGTATGTTTTGATGGGATCTCAGGCAGTTGCTATATTCCGTGTGGGAACATAGAGTCCTCATGTAGTTGGCAAACATAGACTAATAAATTTGCTCAGAAATCTAAACTGTGTGCCTCTCAGCACCACGACAGGAATTCTGCGGGCTACAACTGTTAAGTGTTGAATTCCCTTACGGTTTCCTGTTGTTGTGGATGCTGTGTTGCAATGTCATCCCTGTCTTTTCCCCTGGCAGGAAAACGGAAAGGTTGTGTAGGGTACATTCTCTATTTAAAGATCCTAGTCCTGATATATTTTGCCTGTTTGCCACAGTCCAGTTTAAGTGGCTCTCATTTTTAACCCTTTACTCTCATTTGTAACCCATTATATAAACATGATGTTTTTGAAAGTTTAACAACATCCCCAGTCTACTTCTAAGTTTGTTTGTGCTATCCGACTTTTTACACAAAAAGAGTAAAATATTTCATAAAACATTTTTATTTCTTAGGTGAAAGTCTCAAGAATGGGATTCTTTGAAATAATTTTTGTACGTTTATTTTTATTTAATTGTTCAATGAAGATGACATTTTATTAATTCATGTGTTCATCAGCAATAAAACCATTAGTTCCTTAAAGTCATCAATTATTTAAAAAAAAATGCATACTTTATATATCAATATAATAAAATATATCAATACTATTAGAGAAAAACAGTGTACATAAATAAAAAATGAAAAAATAAAATTTAATCTATCTAACAATCTAACAATCTAACAATAAAGTACTACTGTGAGTAGGGTAAAATGTAATATGTAACAAAAACAATATTTTCCAAATACTTTAAACATTTATAATATATATTTTTTTTCCACAAAAAAAAACAGTGTAACCAAATGTAAAAATAAAAAAATTATAAAAATAAGAATTTAATAAATAAAAGGTAAAATAAATAAAACATTTGAAATCAATTAATCAATCAATTGACCAGTTCAGTACTACAGTGTGTAGAGAAAATGTAATAATATAATGTAACAAAGACTAAATATTTTTAACAATTTTTTCACATTATAGTCTCAAGAATGGGATTCTTTGAAATAATTTTTGTACGTTTATTTTTATTTAATTGTTCAATGAAGATGACATTTTATTAATTCATGTGTTCATCAGCAATAAAACCATTAGTTCCTTAAAGTCATCAATTATTTAAAAAAAAATGCATACTTTATATATCAATATAATAAAATATATCAATACTATTAGAGAAAAACAGTGTACATAAATAAAAAATGAAAAAATAAAATTTAATCTATCTAACAATCTAACAATCTAACAATAAAGTACTACTGTGAGTAGGGTAAAATGTAATATGTAACAAAAACAATATTTTCCAAATACTTTAAACATTTATAATATATATTTTTTTTCCACAAAAAAAAACAGTGTAACCAAATGTAAAAATAAAAAAATTATAAAAATAAGAATTTAATAAATAAAAGGTAAAATAAATAAAACATTTGAAATCAATTAATCAATCAATTGACCAGTTCAGTACTACAGTGTGTAGAGAAAATGTAATAATATAATGTAACAAATATTTTTAACAATTTTTTCACATTATATAGCTTTAAGTCTTATGGTCCCTTGAGTGAGAGAGCGATTAAATTTGGGGGTTAGTAGCATCTAAAAGATCAAAAAGCCCAGACTTAGACTATGCTATGCACTAAATCTGTGTTGAGCCATTTTGACTTATTGACTTATTTATATATTTATACTCTTTTAAAAGATGAATACTTTAGAATAATCTTACCATGTTGACCTTCAACAAAGTGGCTCAAAATCTAGCATTGACTGTGTCTGTTGCTGTGGCAACAAAATAACTATTTCACAGAAAATAAAGCTAGGATCCAGTAAAACAGCATCTGCAAACAAGCCTGTGTGTGATAGAAAAATTAAACAGGACCACGTACAGTTAAAACTAGAGCAGCTGTTTTCAAACTGTGGGTCTCAAATCACCACAGAGGGGAAGTAAGTGGAAGAATGATGGTACGTTCATGCCATGTCAGAAATATGAAATGTCTATGATCTCAAATTCAGTTCATGGGGTTCACATCTTGTTTACATATTTCTGACATGACACATTACAGCAGCGTTTCCTGATCTCCCACACCTCACTGTCTGCAGTACATGTAAAAACAAAACGTTCGCCACCCGTGTAGTCCGATTCATGAACAAATTACTCTTATGAGTCGGTTCTTTTAATGACTCATTACTCGTCTGAATCAGTGTGATGAATCTGTTACTGAATGAACTCTGTCAGAGCTGCTACTGAATCAACATATGACTCACTTTCTGCAAGTTCCATGTCAAAGCTCATTACGTCACCTGTGTACTAGCCTGAATCTCGAACAAATGACTCTTATGAATCAGTTCTTTTAATGACTTGTAAAAGTAATTACCATTTTGAATTAGTCTGATGAATCTTTTACTGAATGAACTCCGTCAGAGCAGCTACTGAACCAACATACGACTCACTTAACAAACTGCCAGTTTCATGTCAAAGCTCCTTGTGACACTATATATTAATCAGCAATAAAATAATTAGTTCATGACACCCCAAAAAAATGCATATTTGGTATGAAAATCTGCGCAGGAATATATCAGCATCACCTGTGTAGTCCGAATCTCGAACAAATGACTCTTATGAGTTGGTTCCTTCAATGACCCATTCAAGCAACTGGCAGTTGCCTGTCTGAATCAGTCTGATGAATGTTATTTTGAATGAACTCCATCAGGGGCTACTGAATCATCATACTACTCACTAACTGAACTGCAAGTTCCATGTCAAAGCTCATTATGCCACTATAGGTGTTCTTACTTGTGCCACAAATAAAGCAAACATTTATTCTACTTAGGGAAATGGAATGAAATTGAAGAAGGGAAATATCTTCCTGGGATCTAAATAAAACTACAATCCAGCGCTGGGGGCATCTGAGTGATGGCCCATTGGGAATGGTTGTTGAAAAGGCATATGAGCACAGCAGTAAAGAAGGATTTGTTTGTGCAGCTCTCCTCCCTCTCTGTCATTTAATCATTTTCTATTCTGGTATGGTAACTCAAGCCAGTTTCTGGTTTCTCCTTGCTGCAGTCAGTCTGTACTGAAGTGATGTTGCATAGCATCACAAACTCCCACAGGCCAGGAATCAGAGTCCATAGTGTGTGCCAAACGTTAAACATCTAATCTTTCCACTCAAACATGCAGACAGAACAAATCAATAAATAAACAAGTGTTCAAGGTAGGGATGTAACGATTACCGGTTTGACGATAAATCGTGATAAAATACCCCACGGTTAGTATTACCGTTTCATATTTTAATTATCACTATAACCGTATTCGATTACTGCGATTTGAACAACTGAGGATAAATAAATACTGTCCAGCAAAGGGCTCCAGAGTGCGACCAAATGGGCGCATTTTGCGACCATTTTTTCTGCCCGTGCGTCTAAATTTTGTGTGAGGTCCCACTGGCGCGACCAACGCATTGTTTAACTCATAAGCGCTGCCATTTCTGTTGCATATGAGAAACATCAAACAGCAAACGAAACTGAAAGCATAATGAAACCGCGCTACTCGTTTGAACTGCGCAGCGCTTATAGAGTGTAGAGCCTGGTGTAGAGCCTGGTGCGAAGCTGTGTGCAGCAAAAATGACTGGCTTCTTAAACCAAAGGTGGACAGGTATTCTTGTGGGGGGAAAAAACATGCTAGCACTGTCACCGACAGCCAGTTTAGTTTTAGTTTTCTTTTTGTTTTCATTTTGAAAAGCTTGTTATCTTTGCTGTTTACCTCACGTTATTCTATGTAAGCTCTCTTTTTTATTTATTTGATTCCTCAGTGTTTGCTAAACGTTCTGTAATTTATTAGTACAAGCTTATGTGGATTCTACACATTTAAACAATAAGGTATCTAGTATTATTTATGGAGCAGATAAAATACATATAATCATTTATTAATCAATTATAATTTGAACTTGACCCTTTTCTTTATTTAAAAGCTGAAATGTGAGGTTTACCATTTATGAAACTTTTTCAAAGCTTTATTTGAACATTTACATGAGATATTTGAACATGCTATTAGATAAACTGTTGTCAGTCATGTTGTCATTTAAAATCCGAACATCATTGATAATGTTATTGTTTTAGTTATGCAAACAAAAAACTCATTTTATTTGTTGTTTGTTGATTTTAAATGTAAAACTTGGTGAAATGATTTATGTGTCAGTACTTTTTGAACATTTCCAGCACATTTTAACAATACCGTGATAATACTGATAGCTGTGATAATTTTGGTCACTATAATCGTGACAAGAAATTTTCATACCGTCACATCCCTATTTATCTGTAAAATTATGGTGGAGGATTTGAGGTCAGTCCAAAAAGTTTTCATTTTTTAGATGCATTAACCCCTTTTGCAATCTCACACACACAA